AAATATTTTTTGGTTTATTTTTAGATTAAAAAAAATTGTTCTTTTTTTCATGTACATCAATTTATTGCACCAAAAATTCTACAATCAATCTAATATAAAGTCTCTTAAAAACGTTCTCAGTTTTTTTTTATTAATTAAATATGGATAGTTATGAAAAAAAAAGGTCATCTATATTATTTCAGATAATAGTAACAAGAAGCATTGGTGTATAAATATTAGTTTCTGTGCTTATTTCATCCATTTGTCTATTCGTAAATACTGTATATCCTGATGTATTGAACATGTGTGGAAACATAACAACAATTTTTAGAAGATGCTATGTCCATTGATTGAAAACTCTAATGTTGAGTAAAGGTTTCTTTTTCTGAAGAACCTATTACTATTTAATACCTACGAATATACGTATAGTGGCTGTAATATTACTTCTTGATGTACTAAACCTTTTGGAAGAGTTCTCAATTGAAAGGCGAACAATCAATCATTGATTGTATTTCTAGATATGAATCAGATACTGCTGAATCAATATTTCTTATTAAGTTTTTATAATTTTTTTAATCAATTTAATTCACCTCAAATTTGATAATGAAGTTTCCATCAATCAGTAATTATATTTCAATTAGAATATTTTTTAAGAAAATATTCAAATGAAATAGCAATAATCTCTCAATCTCTTTTTAGATATTTTTTCACAATTGACGCATGAAATTGAAATTTAGATAAAAATGGAACATAACGTTCTCACATTTGTTGTCATACACAATCGTTGAACGATTCACTACGAAATAGTTACGCTAGACTGCGTTTTGCAACATTAAAGTTAAAGCGGATATAATTGGTTGGTCATAAAAACGTCGAAAGGAAAAATGTCGAAAAAAAATATATCGATGTGGTAGATGATCGAAAAATATTTTAGAAAATTGCGACTAGCGAGGGACATGCTTTATTTGTGGAATAATACTAACATTCTAACTGAAATCAAATATAAGTCAAGAAATAAAAGAAAAGCTTTATAAAGTGTCATTTTTTTTCGCTCAGCAACCGTAAATGACGATCCATCTAATTATTCTATCGCAATTATAACACTGTTATAATATCGTTTACGAAGATTATCTGTAGGCCATTGAATTACAATGAAAATAGCTGGTGAAGATGGAGCAGCCGCAGCCATGAAAACAGAATTTTAGTTGTATAATAGTGCATTGTCCGACTCTTTTAGTTAATTAATATCAGGTATTACTTATCAGCATTACTAATGGTTACAAATCTAGACTAGTAGAATTATAAGAAAAACAATAATGAACTATAGTTGCTTAGAGTCATTATTTACTGGAGACACCACTTTGTTCGCTACTTTTCCATTTCAATATTTATTTTTCGACATTTTTCCAGCACACCATATAATTAAGCAGACCACGTAAAATAAATTCCATTAAATAGCTATTATATTATCATAGAAACTGCAATCAAGTTTGAAAACTCAATCATGTGCAAACCTATTGTTCAGAGAATTTCATAGCAAGAGATTTTTGACTTTCTCTGGTGTGAAAAACTACAGTAAAAGTGAAACTATGTAAAATTATTCTAATCTGAATTAAAGCTAGAATTACATGGAACGTCTTACAGAGATGCAGTGTTAAATCTAAAAGGACTATAAAGTAGATATGAGCACAAACAAATTTGGTAAAAATTTTACGAACAGAGAGTTTGAAGAAGTTCTCTGCAACTGTCTAGAAGTTTGAGTTGCTTTCTGGCTATACAGTGATTCACTAGTAGTGTATTATTTTCTTTGACAAATATTCATTTATTCATAAGTCATACATTTCTTTTTGATTTTAGATATGTTCTAGTCTTCGTGAACTTGATGAAGTAAACAGACGATTATTACTATTCCACTGAACAAGATTATCAATGTTTGTTGTATCTTTTTCAACACTAATAAAATATTCAAAAAATTTCGAAATCTCTTTTATTTACTGTTTTTTTAACTATTTTAACACGTGTTTGAACTTCGAACTCTATTCAGATTTTCAAAGAAACAAATATCTTGATTTATTTGACCATGAAATAATGTAAAACGAATAGTAACATCATGTATACTCAGAATAATTCGATCAGCATTTTTCTAAACAAAATAAAAAGTCTATTTTATTTTTTTTAAACGAGATATTTTCATCAACAATTATCGAAAAAAAGATGAATAAAACGAAAAAACACTTATTTATTCATATAATGAAGCAAAAAATTTTCATCATTAATCCACGTTACAATACTGGCAAGTTGGATGATGTCCATCACTTGATTTAACTTAATTCGATAATTGGTGATAAATATTCTTATATACTTTTTTTTCGGTGTTGTTGTTTTTCTTGGAATAAAATCAAAACTCTCAGCGCTATTACTATCAAAAATTTTTTGCTATAGATGATTTTCTTGGAAGTTTGTTTCAACAGGTATAGCTGATTGTATCTCTAACAAAGCAGATTAATACAATAAAAAAGTAAGTTATTCTTCGTAGAAAAGACCGAAGTCCTCACTTATCATGTGTAAAAATTCATTAAACAAATGAAATGCATTAATACAAAAAAAAAAATAACACACAGGCGGCAATCTCTGTTGGTGAGCACTGTAATTATTCATATATTTCGGTTGTTTTCAATATACACAAGCATGAAAAATAGCACTGTCCGATCCACACATCATACCTTGTATAATCATTTACCATATGTTTAACATGATGATATTCTTTCAGTAGAAGTTTAGCGACGCCTATGTGATGACGTAGATGAAGGGTGGGTGGGTGTGGGTCATGTCTTTAACTTATTCCACATCCACACCCACCACCCTCTTTTCCGGAGCAGCGGCTGTTGATATGAAAATTGTTTGAACATAGCTAAAAGATAGAGCTTTTTGCGTGCGACAAAATGGTTAATAAGTTTATTCTTTTATTCGGTCACTTTTTTAAATAAGAAGTTTAGATTAAACGTTGTGATGTAATGCTGTAGAGAAATGAAAGAAGAATCTTTTGAGACTAAGCACAAATTTCTAAAATGAAAGTTAGCCGAGAAAAACAAGAAATATAAATTGTGGTCATTATTTATGAATCACCCGTTAGAATCACAATAGTGGAAAATGGTTCTAATTATAAACCCTGTTTCTTTGAGATCAGGAGTGCACCAAATCCAACCAAATCGTAATGTCAGTTATAATCATTCAATTATGCCCACGCCTACGCACCCTTCAACCATTCTAAAAGATGAAGCCTGATTGCAGAAAAATAGTTTATCATGAATAATTTTCACTTGCATATATATGGTACACTACAGATTTGAATGTGGAATATATTATAGAGTACTGCTTGAATTGTCACTATATACAGTAGATAATTTTATATTCTGTTTTGTACGGATATCTAAAGAAACTATTCGATGAATTATAATCATTTAGTTTTCATTCAATTATAGCCGATAATCTCTAGTATACTAATAAAAATCATTGGATCAATCTATTTATTCGTTTTATGTGGAATGTTTTCCTGTACGAAATTCGTATACCGTTTTTACGTTATGAATGGTAAAAGTAAAACGTTTACCATCATCCTAGTAACTACATAATTGTTTATCTCGGTAAAAAATAATGAAAGTTTCATATAGAGAAACAATTCCTAAACAAGTCCATCTTGTTACAACATCATCTATATGCATATTTTCTAACTTTTGGTTATCGAAATTATGGTTAACAGAAAAATGACAACTTTCAATCGAGATAGCTAATAAACAAAAAAGAACTTAAAGTGAAAACTCATCAAGGATTCTACGCATGCGATGCCAAGCTATTTTATCTTGAATCCAATCTTGTCTTGTTGAATATTTTTTTATTAATACTTCTGCTCACATTATGTAAGATTCAAAAACTTTTGTGTCATTCCGAAACATGAATTTCTCTGACAATTTAAACGAGTTTTCAACGACTCATCATTCTCTAAATTATCACAACACAAATCACAAAATTCTGTTGCCACGAAAAACACGTAAAGTACGAAGGGTGAATGCATACCTAAAAGACTACATAAATACCGTGTTTCACCTGTATTAACAAACGGTTTTCATGTGTTTTTTTTGTTGCACAGTGTTGATGATATAAACAAAAAAAATATTATATCGAATGAACCAAAAGCCGGTAGGCAATTAATATTAGTATGCAAGAAACTATTGAGTAAATATAGAATTGATGTCTGAATATTTTACTTGAAGACTGTGAACTATAGGTATATAGATAGCAAAAAAAAATACGAAGATCATTGTTTGTTATTTTATTTACTCATATTGTTCATTACACGTGAGCATTCTTTGTCTTCTTCTTTTAAGTCAACATTGAAAGACGACAATATTACAATGAAACAAAAAAAACATTCAATGTATATTTTTCGTCGAGTTGTTTCCTTCGGGAAGAAAATATGGATGAGAGGATACATTTTTCTTGGTCATTTTAGACTAGATGTGCCATCATTTTATTATTGACAATTCTATAATACAATTGGCATCTATTTTTCCTTCTAATATTAAAAATATGGAAGAAAAGAAAAAAAACTCGTTGTTGTATTTTTTTTTCTTTATATAGACTGAGTTTTAACAGAAAAATAATTTTTTTTTGTCTTGTTAAAATTAAGATGAGATTATATTTTTTGATATTTCAATCAGGAATTATTCACTAGTAAGTAAAATATCTGAGATCATCATGAAAACTTTAATAACGAAGATAAAATTTTCAATATGCTAAAAATCTATTTTCTTTTTAAAAGATAATCATATAGTTAAAAAAAAAAATTTTTAACACTACTTTTTGTTTATATTTTTATCTTGTCGCTTTGTGTCAGAATCGTAACTGATTTTGCTCAGCCAGATCGAGATAATTTGAAATCTTTCATTATGATTTCTGATATTTATTGAGGATTCACAAAATAGAAAAAACAAAAATAGTTTTCATTTTTATTTTGAGATAAAATGATAAATAAATTCGAAACATTACCAAATGCAATATTACTAAATATATTTTGCTATTTATCATGCGATAAAATCTTAATATCATTTTGGTCATTAAATAAACGTATTAATTTTCTTATTTATTCAATATTTTCAATAGATAAATATAAAATTAGTTTTAATCAATTAGATTTATCATATAAGAAATTTTCATTAATCTTATTACCATTAATTTGTAATTCTTCATCTTTTTCTTCTCTTATTAAATGTATTCATTTTGATGGTACAAATTCAAATTCTTTGTTTTCCTAATCTCAAATCACTTAAAATAACTCGATATTTATTATCTCAATCATTAATTCAAACATTATCTTTACTTATTCAAAATCAATTGAATCAACTTACATTAACATTCGATGAAGAGATGATCGAATTGATTCGAAAACCAGAAGAACTATGAAGAATTGCTCCTCATACAATTAATTAATTATTTAGAAGTGAATTAGATTAATTCATTTCTGTAGATACAACAATTTTCGACTTTTTTTTTACAAGAAACTTGTTCATGTTACATATTTAAAATGAAATTTATAATACATAACTAATTATTAAAGCTTTTATTAAAATGCGATATATCGAAGAAATTCGAGAGTTCTTTGATCTAAATTTTGTTTAAATTTTTTATGAAAAAAAAGTCAGGATTCGCTCAACAAGTGAGCCCAACTTTATTCTTCCTGAACTCAAATAAGATTCGATAAGAGTAGCATATTCCCGTGGGACCGAAAACCATTGGTCTTGCTCATGTCTAATTGCATCATAGGAAGTATGTTTTCAATAGTTCACATCTCGGAAATACAAACCAAATGAATTTGAGTTGATTGAATAAAATAAATACGTAGAATTTATTTGAACATTTACAATAATTTATTAGATTTATCATATTCATGATGGAATATTTTATTTCGTTTCGTTTTTCGTTGGTTTACATTAGGGAAACAAATAATGATGCTTAAACAGTTGATACGTCAATTTTTTTCTAATAAATGTCAATTAACATATCTTCGACTTGATATTGCTGATGATAATTCTTCTGTTAATATTCAATCAATGTTTAATACTATCTTCTCATTCTTCTGCAAGTTCAATATCTAATAAAATGCACTATTATTGTTTAATGCTTCGACATTTGTATATTTGTCTTAAATATACGTGTTTTCTTGAACATCTTTTTGAGCATATACCTAATATTGAACGATTATCAGTCACTTTTAAACGATGGATGGATTTTGAACCTTGATCCAAGTCAAATATAGAAACATTAATAAAATCAAATGGAAATTGGTTTGAAAAAAGTAAGATGAATTTATTATGATTAGCTTTTTATCTTTCTTAAAATCATTAGAAAACAAAACATCTCGAGATATTCGACTATCAATTGAATCTACCCGTTAATGAGTTCTAGTCATGACACTATCGTAGTACGAGCAGCATCATAAACATCTCTGACATGTGTGTCTAGAACATTCGAAGAAAACTAATAGACTCTAAACTGGAAATTTGTTTTTAACAATTGCAAATATTTTATTTTAATTAGTATGAATTCTGTAAACATCAAACTTTGAGAAAATTGGTTTCTAACAGGAACAATTTATTCAAAAAATGATTTTTGTTTTTTTCTAATCATTCTAGGTACCAAAATTGGACTATTTTATTTTAAAAGTTTTTGTAAAGAAAGATTTGGAGTTTGCTTATTTGAAATGGATACTTAATAATTTAAATCATATCTAAAAATTTAAATTTCATCTTCAAATTTATAGAATGTATTCATCCTTAGATATAATGATTAAAGGATATGTTGTTGATGCAAATTTTATTTATCAATATTGTATGCCTGATATCATAATTAATATAATAGATTTTTAATTTTATATTGTTTCTGAATGTCAATTATTGTCGAGTAACATTGAAAAAATCATAAATTCATTTAAAATTCATCAATTTTTTATTAATCATCAATGAACAAATGTAACTCATTTCTATGATCATATGCATAAAAAACAACAGCTTTTAGAACATCGGCAATACCCCAGGGATATCCGACGTTCTGTTAGTAACCTGTACAGGCGTACAGATGGTGGGCCTACATAACATACATCTATGTATGTATGACAAGAAGCGTCTATCGGATCATCGTCTCTTCCGAGAGGCGGTGATCATTTGTGTACTAGGGTTTGGGTGTGTGCATAGAGACAACATGACACCCACAAGCTCACCCACACCCTCAGTTCGAACAAAAACGACAGCATCGAAGTCAACTGATGATTATCTTCTTGAGGGACATGAAATCCGGAGCTTACCATTCCGAGACACACCCTGTTTATTTTGAGTAGCACAAATCAAATTAATTACAACTTTTTTTTCACATTATCAACGTTTTTTTCCGATAGAATCGTGTCTGGATGCATTGATGGAAGCGACTTTTGTCTAATGCGGAGTGATCGTTCGTAATATGAAAGCGCTTTTCGGTAGTCACCCATCTTTTCATACACACTGCCCATATCATAGTAGCTATTTGCCAAGTCCGTATGGTTCTCTGAGAGAGTTTTCTTCCTGGTTTCCAGTGCCTTCTCATGCGACGAGAGCGCTTTCGAGTAGTTGCCCAGATTTGAATACACAAGGCCAATATTGTAATATGATTCAGCCAAGTGAGGATGTTCGGGAGGCAGCGTTTGCTGGCGCATGCCCAGAGCTTTCGCATGCAATGAAAGTGCTTCAGAGTATTCGCCCATGTTATTATATACCTCCGCAATATTGTTGTAGGCATTAGCTAAGCTCAAATGGTTTGAAGGAAGTGTCTTTTTATAAATATTTAGTGCTTTTTCGCCAAATGAAAGTGCTTTGGCATATATGCCCACTTTATTACACGCATACCCGATGTTGACGTAGGAATGCGCGAAATCGGGATGATTCGGAGGGAGAGCTATTTTTCGGATTTCAAGTGATCGTTCATACGATGAAAGTGCTTTCGAGTACTCTCCCATGTTATCATACACCGAACCAATGTTGTTGTAGGAAGTAGCCAAGTCGGGATGATTCGGAGGGAGAGCTACTTTCCAGATTTCAAGTGATCGTTCGTACGATGAAAGTGCTTTCGAGTACTCGCCTATGTCATTATACACCAAACCAATGTTGTTGTAGGATTCAGCGAAGCCGGGATGATTCGGAGGAAGAGCTATTTTTCGGATTTCAAGTGATCGTTGGTACGATGAAAGTGCTTTCGAGTACTCGCCCATGTTATTATACACCAAACCAATGTTGTTGTAGGAAGTAGCCAAGTCGGGATGATTCGGAGGGAGAGCTACTTTCCAGATTTCAAGTGATTGTTCGTACGATGAAAGTGCTTTCGAGTACTCGCCCATGTTATTATACATCAAACCAATGTTGTTGTAGGATTGAGCGAAGTCTGGATGATCCGGAGGGAGAGCTATTTTTCGGATTTCAAGTGATTGTTCGTACGATGAAAGTGCTTTCGAGTACTCGCCCATGTTATTATACACCGAACCAATGTTGTTGTAGGATTGAGCGAAGTCGGGATGATTCGGAGGAAGAGCTATTTTCCAGATTTCAAGTGATCGTTCGTACGATGAAAGTGCTTTCGAGTACTCGCCCATGTCATCATACACCTGGCCAAGTTGGTGACTGTACTCCGCTCGATCTTCATCAGAAGATGCTTTTTCGAGGAGAATCTGATAGAGTTGTTCTGCTTTTGCAGGCTCACCCAGTTGAATAAGTATACCACCTAGTCGAGACCATCCTGTTGTCCAATTGATCTCTTGGCGTAGGTGTGCTGTAAGTACGTTTAATTCATGATTGTCGTTACCCACAAGAGTAAGTTTGACTTCCCATAGAGTATTAGTATGGTCGTCTTGCATTTGTTTAATTTGATCGATGCGAAATATTGTATGTGTTGTGAAAAGTATTTCGGCTTCATTGCCCTTGAAATACCCATCTTTGCCAACATCGACATAAGGAATTGATGATTTGAAACATATTGCCGGATCGATGGTCATTATAAAGAGGATACCAATCATACTGGGATTTTTCGATGCTCCTTCTCGAGCAAATTTAACGGACACTTGACGATTTTCACTTGTGGACAAGAAATTATTGAAGGACATAAGCCCTCCTTTGGTTTGTTTCATTTTATCGAAATTTTCAACTGAAAAACCTTGCCCACGGAATACTGTAAATGGCGCCGTAGCTTTCGCGCTGGATTGTTGTTGTTCATTATATAATTTTTCGATATATTGATGTAAATGACGAATAAAAAAACCCATTTTAATTATAATG